TGTGTGTGTGTGTGTGTGTGTGTCCCCTTATTTTAATAAGGGAGCACTGGCCCCCTAAGAAGTACTGGCAACCACCTCTGGCTAGAGGGCAGCTCTTTGCAGCTTTTGGTGACAACCGGCAAGGAGAGAATGTTGCTCTCAATTGTTCAAGAAACGGAAAGCTTAGAGAGGTTGAAGCAGTTTGCCCCGTTCACGGGCTAGTGACGGAGTGGGCCTCAGAACTCAGATCTTTCCGACTCAAAGTGCCTTGTTCTTATCACCCCCTGCCTCCCTAGAGATTGTTAGAACTTTTGGGGCATACTGTTACTTTATTTTCGAAGCTCTTTGGATACAGGGTGGTGGTTGAAGCAGCTCTGAGGGTCTGTTGTGAAGAGAAGGGTAGCATTGTTGGACCAGTAGGTAATTTCCTTTTCCCAAGCTTGTCCCTCCAGACCTTTGAGCAGGTCATCATAATTTTATATTTTATGACCGAAAAGAAACTTCTGTTAAATCATAAATACACTGAAAACCCCGGTGACTAAACACGAGAGTATTATCTCCTTGAGCACGGAAATCTCTCAGCGATGTGGCAGGAATGTAGAAACAGTCTGAGTTGTCAACAAAACAGATCCAATTTCCCAGTTATAACAAACATACATGTAGCTGTGAATGGAAAACTCTCCCAATAAGCAAAGTAATGGCCTTTTCCATGTTGTTTTCCTCATTTACTTATAGCTGTTCTTCCAGAGCATCAGATTCAAATATTTCATTGTATCGATATTTATAACAGTTCTAATAAGTAGAGTGCCCACTACATTACTTTTATTTAACATTCTCCAGAGTTAAAGGAAGTTGTAGTTAAAGGTTCATCTTTCAGATTTACAGTTTTACCTAGATTGGCAACGTGGGGTGGCAAAGCGCTTAGAACTAAGACAGAAAAGCTGGTTCCAGTCCTGGCCTGCTTCTAATGGTGTGTGACTTGAGTAAGGCTCGGGAAGAGAGGCTGCTGATACCCGTCCCACCTGCCCCCGCCCCAGATTGGTCCCAAGGCAAACGCAA